GAACAAAATTTTAATACCCTTTGTAAATAAATCTTTTTCCATTTCCGTTCTCTTCTCTTCTCTTCCCTTCTCTTCTTTTACCTTTCCTTTTTTTCTTTATACTTTTAAGCAAAACAAATACTATTTTTATTTCATTTAAACATTTTTCTTTTATTTTTATTTTTTATTTTTTAATTATTCAATATTATTTATTTTATTTTCACATATATATATACTTTTTTCAGGCATCCTGATAGCTTTTGTCATTTATATTTTATTTGAATTTTCGGAATTGAGAATAAATTACATTACAGTCATTTCCACCACTGTATTGCCGCAAGTTGAGACCGACTTCGTTGCTAAATGATTTTGAGCCTCTGCTAAGTTTAGATGGTAGATTTTTGCTCCAGCGCGGTATTTTGAGAACAAACTGTGTGGATTGTCTGGATAGAACAAATGTTGCTCAGTTTGGAATCGGTAAGTTATATTTCTTATTCCTAATGAAGCAGTAAAAAATATCTTGAAAGGAAATGAGTCATATCAACATTTGGTTGGAATTCGTAACTTCTTAATTTTTGTTAAATTTGTGACTTTTAGGAAAGGTCTCGCTAGGAATTCAGTTATATTCTATGGGAGTTGTCGGAGAGCCTTTACTGTCTTCATCCAGTGAAGTTTGTCGAATGTATGAGGATTTGATGGATCAGCATGGCAATACATTGGCACTACAATATGCGGGATCTCAATTAGTGCATTCAATCAAGACTTATAAAAAGATATCTGTTATACAGGTGTGCATGTTAATGTCGATTGTCATACATATCATCTTCCTTTGAGTAAAAGGTGTGTTGATGAGAAAGGGACAGAGATTGTTTGGAAATTCAGAACTTTTGAATTTCAAACTAAATGATACCATCGTTGGTTTCCATAGTACTTATTAAAGCACATCTTTAAAACGACATACTTTAATAAGCATTATAAAAACTAGATTGAAATCAGAAGTCGCGAACTATTATTAGGAACGACTCAATCCATCTGAAATTGTTAATTGTGCATTTACAAATATCTTTATTATTGGTATAGGTAATCTTAATGAATGGTCCAAGTATGATCATTTTTGTCCGCTTTGCTCAAAAAGCATGTTGTAAATTAGCAAAGTTGAGGAATAGGAAATAGAGAACAATGTAGAGAAAACGAAATTTCCCAGTAGCATGGGGTAAATAGAGGTTTGATAATTAGCAACTATTCATCGAAGAAAAGTAAATATGAATCGGTAATACAGGCTACAAATATTTGTTGCAGGAAAGAAGTCGTGATGTAATCCAAACTTTGTCAAGGTATTATAGCAACACTTTTGGTGACTATGATAAACAAAATGCAATCAACCTGTTTTTAGGCGTGTTTAGGTTATTTGTTGATTTTTTATTTTTTGTTTTTCATTATTTTTCATTTATCAGCCATGTAACAAGTAATAGTAATCATGAAGGTAATCATATATAAGATACGGTATACACTGCTCTGGTTAACTACGACTGATATGAAGATCGTCTACAGAATGGTAAATAATGCCACATCAAAGTTATTAAACGGCAATTTTTAAAGCAGTGTGTTATTTATTCTTGTATTTAAAATATTGTAATGGAAAAAAAGATCATGCTGAACGGTTTTAATTTTTTCTCTCATCCCTCTCTTTTCTCCTTTCCTTTCTGGTTAACAACGACTGATATATAACTAGAATAGTTCAATGACTATGACAAACTTAACTAAACTGAGAGAAAATAAAATAGTCATTTTTAGACCAAGTAGCACAAGCTCTCATTTGTGGGATTTGGAAACCGATCATTATCTTCATTTCCCTGCTGATTTCAAGCTAAAAGCAGATTACTGTGCATGGTTTGTTGATTCCGATTACTGGGAAGGTCCTAATGAATGGGATGATTGGAAATATACCGGTGACAGTGTTTTTTCCAGTGTTAATATGGGTGACTTATTATTATTGTCTTAGGCATTGTGGTCATAGATAGTTTTATCAGTGCTACGAAATTGTCTACAAAGTCCAACTTTTTTTTTTTAAATGGTACATTTTTTTAAATAGTACATCTGCATTTATCTAGAAATAAGTGGTATCAAGTCCTTTTGAAATTTTTCGTAATTATATAAGTTTATTATGTTAACTATGCTTTACTATTTGATTATATAATTCGTCAAATTTTTTGTGGTTAAAGCAGCACCAGTATCACGTTACTATTGCTTGTTTTCTGCTGAAGATCTACACTACACATACTATCGTTTATGGGAATTATCAAGATTAGACGATTTAATTCGTGAGCAAAAGGATCTCCAGAAATCTGTAATGGTTGATGGTGTGAATCAAAGCATCGCACATTGCTATAGTTTTGCCAAATTATGGAAGGTAGTTCATTATTTTTAAATCTTCAGTAAGTTGGAATTCACAAATTTCGTACCGTCTCATCCACTTTGCCCACTCTCATTTATTTTCACTGTAATCGATGAATAACTTTCTAGATCAAAAGCTGGAATTTTGTTTTATTCAGCAAGATTTAAATGATAAGAGCAATATGAAGCAAGAAAAAACTGCTTTATCAGATGATGATGACGAAGAAGACGAGCCACTGATGAAATCAGACACCGAAGCACATTATGAATGCGGTTTTAGTTCGGTAGATAATTGTTTAATTTCAGTTAGATTTTTTATTTTATCTGTATTATCTAATTTGGTTGTAATGTTGAAATAGTCCTTCATAATGATGTTTTCGGTTAATAGAAGAAAATTATAAAGGAAAGTTTTTAACGTATATATATATATATATATATATGTATATACCATCTATTTACTTCTTTATTTACTAATTAATTTATTTGTTAATTTGTTCATTCATTCAATTGATTAATTTGTTGATTAATTTTATTTAATTTGTTATAATTAACTAATTTATTTGCTTACTTTATTTATTTATTTATTTTGCTTATTTATTTATTTACTTATTCGTTCAATTTATTTTATTCGTTTTACTTATTTATTTTATTTGATTAATTTATTTATTAGCATATATGTTTGTACCTGTGTTCAGCATTGCACAATATGGATCAATTGTGAATGAAGGGAGGAAGAGGGAGTAAGAATTATAGCTAGAAGAACGAATTTTCTTCGAAATTGGGTGGATGTGACACAACTACTTTTAGGTCGGTAAACTTCGCCTTATCACTTCAACAAATCGGGAAACGGCACTGGATCAGAAAAATTCGAGTTTGTCGTCTTCATTTATCATCAATAATTCTAAAATTTTTTGCAGAGGTCAGGTTAATTAAGTGAATCAGGCTTTATTGATTTAAAATACTTTTCAAAATATCTGTTTTCAGATAGTAGGGTGATGTGTATAGGCCTTTTAACAACTAAAGAAGCATATGGTTTTGAGGTCGAAAAACCTAGTGATGCTGACATGGCAAAATATCTCAAATACGCACGACTCGGCGGTTGCACCAGCAATCGTAAGGTAAGATTCCACATAATTTCCTGTTTGTGAATTATTTCTTTTTATGAAAAGTGATTTTTATATGTTTCTGAAATATTAGGTCACTGGCCAATTATTTGAATTTGTTTTAAGGATTTACTTTGCTTTCTCAGTACTTTACGTTATACACTGTAGTAATATGTCAAATTATTGCTGATTTTGCAATACCATTCTTCCTTATATATCACTACAAATGTCTCACTGACAATTTAAAATTACTTTCTACAGATTGTTTTATGACTGTAATTTTATGTTGATCGCTTCAGGATCTTTACCCACCAAGGAAGCCCAAACGACTTGATGACTTATCGGCATCAGCGATACCCGATTACAGCCGTTTGGAACCGACATCATTTTTCAAATCAGATAGTATATATTCTGTTAGCACCTTTCTTTTATTAATAGTTTTGTATTCTTCTCATTGTATTCTCGTACATTTAAATATACCAACGTTCGAGTCTTTATATCACATCCTAAAGTTTCACTGAAATTTTATGCAGTACGACAAAGAAGTTTAGACTTTTAGCACTTTTTGAAAACTTCAGGTTTTTCTTCTGCCAATATCGAAAGCTTCTATGGAAATTTACATTGAAAGTGTTGAATGTGCTTGGCAAGGGCCTAAAAGTCCATCACAAATCGATCTGGAAAAGTATGAAAATTACGCACTTGAAAAGCTTGAAAGACATTCAGCTTTTGCTTTACAATTTTCCTCATCTTGAGGTACAGTTATTTTTTGTTCCTTAGAGCTTTTAATTTTATTATTGCATTTGGGAAATACTGTTTATATGCCTTTGCGTCAGTACATTACTCGAAGTTGTTGAGTGAATTTTCGAAAATTCGAATAATAAATTTCTAAGTTGTACGGTTTCCTTCACACCATAACAATCATCACAGGGGTAATTTCTCTTTTTTAATTTTTCAAAAATTAATTAGTTCTGGGTGATCTAAAATATTGAAAGGGTTTTAAAAAATTTGAAAAATGGTGTAATCAAGATTTTTCGGTGGAATTTAAATTTGAGCTGTTGCTTTCGGATGGTCAGCAGTGATTGGTGAGTTGATTTTGGTCAAGATAGAAAAGTGAAGGAATAGGTGGATGTTTTCTGCTCGAACCATCGCTCATTTCGAATCCTCGGCAGAGGGACCATCACAATCACGGACAAGCGGAACAGCTGCTCAGTTTACTGATTGAGAATTTTGCAATTCATTTATTTTTTGCGACAGAATTTGAAAATTTTCTGGAAAGTAGACTTGCTTCCTAGAATGCCAGACGTTTCAGCGCGTTGCATCTTAGTTGTGTTTTCTTTGCGAGGATTTCTTTTTCTTTAATCTATTTTTTCGTTCTGATTGTATGAGTCCAAGTGAACTTCTAAACTGACTTAATTAAAATTCGCAGGAATGTTCGACAGTAGATTCTCAGTACATAAGCTTTGTTCTGCTTCTTCTTCTCTTCTTTCCTTCTCTGCTGCCTAATTTTTCATTTGCACAATGATTTGAACTTTTTCGGACTTACTTTTCATTTCATGCGGATAAATATGTAAAATTAATTTATACTGACAGCTATAGCAAAAATTAACATTGATGTTGCTGTAAACGTTTATAACTAGATGGAAATGTATCTTTTAAAATGTCGAATTTTGTGTTCAATTTTGCATCTATAAACAAAAATCTGCTCTGTTTTTGCACTTAGCTTATCTCTGTCATCTAATTCAGGAAAGTTTTTTCAATTCCAGAGGGAAATGTAAATCTATCATCCTTATTTATATGAAAATAGCCGTTGTTTCCATTCCAACTGTCTTAATTTTAATGTTACAATTTTATATTAAGCCATTATCTATTGCATTGGAAAATTACATATGTGTGTTGCTCCTTGGAAGCAGTTGATTTCAAATTTGCGATTTCTAACACCAAAGATCGTAAATACGGGATAGTGGATTATTCCCCGTCACATTCCCATCCATTTTCTGTTTGACCCCTGTACATTTTTTGTCTGATCTTTGCACTTTTCATTTTATCAAGTAAGCGCCGATCTGTAAGTTAAATAGGAAATTTCCATGAGAAAATTTGTGAAAGTTTCCCATTTATTACAAATTTTCTGTTTTAAAGTTTTTCATTTAATTTTCTTTATTATTGGAAAGTGGCATGAGAATGATTGAAAGTCTTTTGAAATTAAAAAATTAAGAAGTTGCAGTTACAGTATCGAATGTACAAATAAAAGTGTTCATGCAATATGTTATGCAAATGTGACTGGCTGTTTCTTACTTACTTTCACTAAAGGACATAAACAAAATGTAGTAAGTGTAGGTAAATAAGTATGGAAATAAATAACTGAATCAGTTGTCAGCTGACGTATATAGTTTAGTGAAATTTAGTATGAAAAATAAAAATAAATGTATGTATGTATGTGTATATGTATTGAATGCTGAAGAGTAGAAAAATTGAAGTCACAGTTAGTACAAAACAGTGTCCCTTGTTGATTTTATTCTTTAAAAATCTAATTCAAACAAATTGACTTTTTTATAGTTCATTGTCATTATATGAGTATTCAACGGAGATTTACTTACTCTTCATTCGAAGTCTTTGAGTTATGTGAAGAAAGGAAAGAGTACTCTGAAACATCGTAATATGGTCAGGTTGGACAGCATTGGTTAGTCATTCGGACAGTTTAGTTTTAAGACTTAACTCTGACTCTGCCAAAGATTAGATTGAATGCGAAAGTTAGTAAATATTTAGGAAGTTAATAGGAAACGAAACTTCTTCATGCTTTTAATCGGATTCTTCTGTATTAGTGTGCTGGAAATTTCCTGCAGTTTTTACTACGTTATGATTGTTTCTTCCCTCTAAAGAGACTTGATTAATAGTGGAATGAGCATTATAATATCTGTTCATTAACTTGATTCATAAGCAGTTCACAAATGGGCTAATTAATTTGTAAAGATAAGCTCCTAATTTTGTAAGCTCAGTTTAGCGACATTATAAAACTTTTCATCCTTGCAAGCTTTGACGGTAACTGTTACTTATTTCATGCTACTTCATACCACTTTAATGATATTGTTGTTAGAAAGTTTCCACAGAGACAATTTTATTTTCATTAAAATAACATGTCTGTACAAAGTAAATGCAGTGACCAGTATGATCTGAATGAGTTGGTGGATTAAAAATGACGAATGCCATGAAGTAATATGATATCAGGTTGATAACAGTGCATAATTTAGACTATGCTAGGTCAAACATCCGGGGGAAGGGGGGCAAGAACTTCTTAGCACCATGCTATTTGTTGTTGTTTTTACTAGGAAATGTCCAGTTTTTTTTCACTTTTTTCTTGTCATTTTCATTTAGGAAGGCGCACAGTGAGAATGGTTAACATTGACCCAGTAGTTGCTGAGCCCAGCTAGTTAGGAGCAAGGCTCTCTTTTTTCTTCCAATTCCTCTTTTCTAGAAAGAGTAAGAGGTCTACTTTTAGTAAATCCCTCATTGATAATGGAAAACTGATTCACCTACCCATTCATCCAATGCTCATCAATTTATTTATCCTTTTCATTTCTGTCCCTTCATTTTCTTTCTCCTGTATTGCTTTCAAGTACAACATGGAAAGTCAATAAAATTTATTCCAGACTTCAATTTTTGGGAATAGAAACCAATTTTTTATGGCTTGGATTTTATGATGCCAGTGCTGTCATCATTGCGAAACAGTTCCATTCAGAAATTTTTTCCTTACAATAATTTCTAAGAAATTTATGGATCATCAATTGAATTACTCGCAATATATACGAAATAGTTCAATTAGTAAGAATCTGGGAAATTTTGGTTTACCCAACGAAGATAGGAGTATATTTAGCTATTCATTACGAACGATCATGACACCTTGCTCTTGCTTGATGTAAAGTACTAAAATATATTTGTTATTAGTTATCGCTTAAACTTTATTCGTTCTAATAAAATGAAAAAGAATCATTAAGTGGTTCTGAAGCAATAGATCAAAGAGAAGAATCATCATTTTACGAATATTTTGAGGTATAACTTTGAGGAGTTATGAGTTTAGAGTTCAGCCAGTGATAAGAGGACTAGAACTCCTCGTGTAGAAAGTCACTGATATGGTTTCATTTAAAACTAAATTCCAATTTCCTGATCTCTTTATCCCATTCAATAGTACTCTATATGAGAATTTGCGAAAGTTCAATAAAATCATGTACTATTTGCATTGTTGACAGCAAGTCTGAAAACATTTCTCTGAATCGCGTTTTCATTTCTGAAACAAACGAAACTGCTTCAATATTTATTCATAATTATAACTTGGTTTCATTTACAAAGTACTTTTCAGTTCTTCCATCTTACCATCTGTAAGAAATAATTTCATGAAATTTATGATATTTCGAAGGGTTTAGAAGAATAAATAAATATTGAACTTATTGTTATGTCTAACTCCTGATATTAGTGACAAGTCATTGATATTTTTTCTAATTTTCAGAGGAACAAGCAATTATTTATAAAATTCAGTAATTAGAATATTTGAATTTTTGAATATCAACGAACAACATGGAATTACTAATTTCATTTAACCGTGCCTAAGCTTTAATAATAAGCGGGAAACAAGAACGGAGAAAAAAGTTAGCTCAGTGCTATATCAGTTAAAACAAAAATTTACTGTGATTTTCACATGATAAATTAATTATCGGTCGTTTTTCTTGCGATGAAGCAAACGTTCATGCCGATCCAGCATTCCATTCGACCGCTCCTAACAGCATCGATGTTTACAATGTCACAATGTTTTTTGAAAATCAGCTATCAGTTTCTCCATCTTTCAAGCTCACAAATCTATCGAAGGGACAGGAAAGCATGGTTGAAGATTGCAGAACGGAGGTAAAAGTATGTGTTTATCAGTATTACTGGACTAATATTACAATTTTGAAAGGTTTTTCCGTAGATATCTAATTTATATTTTGCAAGGAGGGAAGATGAAGGTCACTGAAAGAGGACAATTATGGCAATAGATGCGCCATTATTGATATAATACTGAATGGATCGGGATAATTTCAATCCTTAGGAAACAAACCATTCCACTTTTTCTTTTTTTTTCCTATCGCCATCTGAATTAACTGAAATGAAGCCTATTTCTTGTTAAATTCCGATATTTTAACAGAAAAATTAATATTAAATCTGTTATTATTTCAAAGATTTTTTTAAGAGAATGAAAAATTTGGAAGGTCGAGAACACTCAGAGATTTCTTTTTGAAATGTGTTATCCAAGATTCTGTCTAGAAAAATTAAAAAGATAAGAAATGTATATTCGCTTCTATGAAAGTTAATTTGGCTAAATTCTTTCAGTTTCTCTTCACTCTTCTACATTTTTTAGGTATTTTCCGGTATTTCTTGAGAGCTTCTATGAAAGATCCCTCAAACCTTCACATTTATTAATTGAAATAAATTTCTAAATTTACATGGCAACAAATTAATAAATCGATTGGTTGATTCATAGCAAAATTATATTATACATTAAATTATCCGGAAGTTAGGGCATGAGAATGATCAAAATCGGGATGACTACTAATTGCATTGTGACATTCAAAAGTTTCTTGATGTGTCAGAAAAAGAGGAACTTTACAGATTTCTTATGTGTATTTTTATTAAAGATTTGACAAACATAATTATGCATTTATTTCACCATAAAATGCTACTTAATTGTAGAATGAGTGTTGGTTCAAATTTTTTAAGTCATAAATTCTAAGGATTGTATAAATTTGCTTGTTGTTTTATCATTATTTTGTATTTTTGGCCAACTGTCACTTTGTATTCATAAGAAAATTTATATTTATTAGGCAACTATTGGCTGTATATCGGAAAGATACATTTTCCTTCTCTAAGATTCTCTGAAT